GTAATGGACATGCTAATTTGTTTTTGTTTTTAAGACTCAGTGTCAGTAAGGGTAGTATTCCACCACACTGAAGATGGTGGTGTATCGCTGAGTGGATGGAAAGTCACAAAAGGCATTTCCTGCTGTAACCTCCCTGGCATTTGTAGGCCAGCACTCAAGATATCTGTGTTACTTACAGATCTGGTTTCACATAGCTTTAAAGATTCATTGCCCACAAGAGCAAAATTTTGCCTCAAGCTAATACAAATAGTTAGAGTATCTTCAGTTTTGCTGTTTAATTACTTCTATCTGGTTTGGTAGCTCTAGCTGGAAATGGCAAACTTCTCTGCAGTGACTGGAATTTGAAATGGTTTTACTTCTTATGAGACAAGTTCTCTGACCCGCAGATGCTCTGCCTGGTAAAAGTTCTAAGTAAACATAATTAGGCTGCATGTGTTCCTCCTTCCTTCCCCTGGCTCTTTGTTTGCTTGTGTTAGTTGTCTTCTGCCGGGGAGTTGCCAGATTGTCCTGTGGCCCCACAGTTTCAGGACTGACGAGACACAGAGCAGTGTGTAATTAGCAGACGAGTGCGCACAGCTCCCCACAGTGTTCTGACCTCGTGCTGCAGGAACAACTGCCACACAGTCAGACTCCAGCCTTTTCTTCATCAACTTTTTCCTCCTTAATGTCCCTCTGCAAATGTGTAGATGTCAACAATTTTCAACATGGGCTTACAATGCATATCTGATCCTCAAATAATATATTTCCCTTTACTATTGTTTAGATCAAACAGTTTCAAAGAGGTAAACACATCATGATGCATACATTAAAATCATATGACATGAGGATTTTCTTTGTTAATCAAATTAGTTTCCAAGATAAAAGGAAATTTGAGAATTGTCCATGTTCACATTGATTTTCTTTCCTATTCATAACTTTACAACCTAACAAAATGCAAAAAGAAAAAGCTGGAATGTTAAAAGTGTATTTGTCAAAAGTAAAATTCTTTGGGTGCAATACTTTTCAAAACAAATGCTATGATACTTGCCGGTTCTTCACAGCATGCACATTTTTATTTTTTTGTTCATATTGTGTCAAAAAAAGATAAAATGTCTATTTTGTGATGTTTATCGCTCATGAGTGTCAACTAGTCAACCCGCTGATTAAAAATTAACAAAAGTAATGATAAAAGAAGTTCCTTTCTTCATGCACTTCTCCTCCTCACATAAAAGCTGAATGTATACTGAACAAAGTCCTTCCAGAGCAGCAACACCCACAGCGCTGCAAGGCTTCACAGAGACAAACAGTGGTCATAAAGCTTATTGCAGGTGAGGAGCAATAAAAGGTGTCACTGGCGATCAAATTCGACATAGTAAACTATAAATTAAAGTTCAACATATCTTCAAATAAATGTAAAAAGCAAGAACTCAGGGCTTTTAAAACTTGGGCACTTCAGAAATTAGAAGGGTTGAATCTGATTCAACAAGCAAACAAAACAAAGTTTTGTTGAAGGTGGCCAAATGGATGCTGCTAATCATCTTTGCTTAGCACATGAAAACCAAAAACAACTGTTTCTTACAGTAAATTGTGCAACTGAGCATAGCTCCTGCATCTGTGCAAACATTGTAAGTCTGTTTATTTGAAAATGTGTTTCAACATATTGGCAATATGTATTTTAAAATGTTGCTTCAAAAAAGTGGAAAGGATTAGATTGACTATATTTATAAAGTATAAGACGTCTTGGTGCTTGTATCATATTGTGAATAGATGCATTTTTATTAGATACATTATGTTTTATTTCAATAATTTCAGTTATTAGGTGTGGAAGCATTAATTTGTGGATGTTGTTTTTATTACAAAACTGGTGAATGCATTACATTGTTACATTTTAACATTGTCAACATAGTTTTTTTTTTTTCTTCATTTTACAATAATATAAATCCTATTCAAAAAGTAAAGAGTAAAACGTTATTTTTTTCTCTCTTTAATCTATAACTTCTGCCCCAGTTCTCGTAATAACAATACAATCCTAATGGAGAAATATTCTGCTCAGTTCCTGTGTGTGAATGATTTGACAGTCACCTTGTTCCTGACAGTCTGCAGGCTAAGAGACCACATTAACTCACAGTCTGATCAAATCATGGCATAGCTTTTTCAATATCCACAAATAGTAGGCATGTTACTGTATCGCCATCACTACAATACATGCAGTCGCACCATTGTAATCATGGCTTCTGTTTTCTGAATAGCAGTGGTTCAGACAAGGCCTGCTGAGAACCAGCAATGAATTAGTCACGTCTCTGGTAGCAAGACTTAATGTGATAAGAGTAGGTAATCATCCTCTGCAGATATATAATTCACTATTAATAGCCCATCTGACTCTAAATTTAACCATGACAAATTATTGGATTTCTAAGTCATTTTACAGGCTGCTCACACTCTCCATCTTTCCTACTCCTGCCCTAACTTATTTTAAAGTGTTGGTGCCAATGGCCCAAATGTGTCACACCTAACAAGGCTTGCTGCAAATTTAGCCTGTCAATATGTGTCAGGCCTCATTCATCAGCTATAACTCTTCATCTGAGCTGTCCTTCTACTTTCACATTTCACCACCGGGAGGCTTGACTGCTCCCTGAGCCTGCATAGTTCAGTCCCACCCTGAGGTTCCCTGCTTCAAGGTTCAAAGGCAATGACAAGCAGTGTCCTTGCTAAACCAAAGTGCAGCATGGGGAGACAGGGAAACGGAACGGGGGGTAGACACGTCGTAGCCAGCAGATTGTGAATCACACTGCGGAACTGGGTGGCATGTGATTGACATTATCTGATCTTTTGAGTCATTGAGAATGTTACACTCGCATGTGATTGTACGCTCTGTGGCAATATGCTGACATACAATAACACAGGATGTTTTCTGCAGCATTAATACTAAAACAACTTCAGAACTAAAAGTAAGAATACCACAATGTGTTGTAAATTTTCAGAAGCTGAAGGGTGTCTTAAATCACTTTGGTTTTTGAAATGTGCATTCAATATGTGTTTGCCCAATTTATGGAATGATACTTTAAGCATTACCAGCAATGCAGCTCCCTGTGAAATTATTTATACCGCTTGAACTTTTTAAAATTAAATTAAAACCACAGACTTCAATATATATTTTCAGTGACATTTTGAAAATATCTTTTTGGCCTTTTTTTCTTGTTAAACTGATGAGTATTTAGTATGCATTCAGCCCTATTATTCTGATACCCCTAAATAAAATTAACTTCAACCAATTCCCTCCTTGCTATGGATTTCAGCTTTGTATAGTTTATTCTCAGAATTAAGGACAATTGTTCAGTGACACCAAAAGCAAAGAACGTAACAAAGAAATCTGTTATTAAGAGGCGAAGGAGTTAAAATCCCTCTAAGATTATTAAACAGTATTATCAATTCTGAAAATGTTATTGAGCACACTCAAAACCCACCTCCTAATATTTTAGTTTGTGGTTGAATACATTTTCATGACAGTGAATGCTATTGTTATAGTCAGTAAAGTGGTAGCAGCTTTCAATGTTCCTGAAATAAAGATTTCCATTCAGTTTACATGACTGAATTCAAACTATGGTTTTGTATCTTTCTGTGTGAAGGACATCTAACTAATGCCTTTTACCTTCTCATTTCCAAGCTTCAAGCTAAGTATGAGCTACACAATATTGTTTTTTATTTTGATCTTTCAGATCGGCTCACGAGTAAGAATACAGTTTACATTTCTCTTTAAAATTGTGTAAAAAGGCAGGTGGCACACAGAAAAGTCCTGCACAGAAGCTGAAAGCAGTTTTATAATCCAGGTGTTCAAAACAAGCTGGTACTTGGATGTAAACATGCAGCTTCCTCATTGTCAGTTCTGACATCAATGGCATGCATTTGATCAACTGTTGTACAAATGTAGAAAGGGGGGAGGGTAGTTTTTATTTAATTATTTTCCTCTCCCTTTCTGTTCTGGATTTATGTTCCAGGTTTGAGATGGGATGCTTCTTCTGTAATTAGTTGGTATATCCTTCTCTTTTATTCTCTCCCCTTGTTTTATTTTTCATAGTGTTGTTGCCTTTTCATAGAATGCACCACATAATTGTAGGTGCATTGCACTGCCTGCCAGCCTTGAAGTTATAATGAGGTCTCTGTGAAGACAAGAGAGAATCACAGGCTATTTTATCCTATTTTCTGGATGGAAGGTTGTGGGGTAATGGCATGAAGGGGGGCTCTGTTTGTATTGAAACTGACAGAGGGAGGTAGCTTTGGAAGCATAAAGTAATGAGTCTTCTGAATATCCTATACCAGAATATCCTATATCCTATTTTAGCGATGACATTCATTTAGACAGAAAAATGGATATGAAGTAAATGCTGCCCACTCCCTTTTTGCTTCCCTCTTTCCTTCAAAACACCTGAAAGCAGGATATTGCCAGTTGTGAAGTCTACTGTTTTATAGTAATGCTGCTTACTGGACTGCATTAAACTGGATTTGTCTAAAAGACAGAAAAAGAAAAAAAGGCACAACAATCTAGAAATCCAAAATGTGTTCACATTGTTTATATCGTGATGTCAAAAGGCATCTCCTTCTACATTCATAGTACGTTTTGTTGACAGCGTGCTCTGTACTCACCAAACAATGTTATCATACCTGTCTGCTGTGAATCCTTCAGAGCTTTTACATGATATAGCACGTTTGTGTTTATTTTAGGGCCTGCCACATTTAATAGCTCCAAACCATCTGCCAGTTGTCTGACAGTGCGACAGTCATCAGACATGCTTCATTTCGTGACATACTGTAAATACCAGTTAATGGTCCTCTACTGCACTGGAGCATGTGTTGAAAAATTACCTCCATGCATAGTCGATCTCATTTTAACTGACCTTCAGGTTTTGACACAAACATGATGAATGGCCAATAGGTTAGATGTCAAATAGTTAAAAATGAACAGTATGGATTTAGCGGCATGTGATGAAGATGTTGCAAACTCATGCTATGATCTTTCTACACAGGGGGACGAAGGCCTGGCTGAAAACCCAGGGTTGCCTGTAAGTTCACACTGTTTCATTTGCATCTCATTACGCTGCTTTGTGTATGTAAGGTCATTCAGCACGACTTATGAGGTTGTAGTGGACACACGAAAGTATGATTTGAAATGGTTAGACAGAGCTTTGTAAACACCACAACACTTTGGCAGATCAGGAACTGGTTGTGGAGTTAAAACATCTGGACTACAGTGATGGGAAGTGAGGCGTCAGCTGAGGTGGCTCTGTGTCACATTACTGTTGCCTTGGAAGGGTTCAAACAAGGAGCAGATAGGAAAAGGGGCTCAGAAGGCCTTCTCACTCAGGCCAAAAAGGATAGGGATGAGCAGCCAGGCGGGAAGAGTTCAGCTCCAAAGCCCTTAGCGAGAGGTAGAGAGTGACAGGTAGTCACTGGCTGTTTCTTACATGGGTAAAATGTGCTCTCTCTGGGCTGGCGCCTGCTTCTGTATTTTTCACCCTTGTAATTAGACTGACTTGTGTTGTTACTCTGGTCATGTAAAATTTAACAGTTGACATAGTTCAATGAACATACACTGACATTGGATGTTCATACCCCTTGAACTTTTCCACATTCTGTCATATTACAACCATCAACTTCACTTTGCGTTAATAGGATTTAATGTGATACATAAACATAAGTAACTGCATATTTGTGAAGTGGAGTAAAGAAAAGGTAAATGATTTTCAAATATTTTTGCAAATAAAAGTCTGAGATTCAGGCATGCATTGTATCCACCTCTCCATTTTTAACTACCTTTGCCAGTTTTTATTGTAACATAATTTAGGCACAGTTCGGTTGAATTCAAAGTGTCTCTGAAAAACATTTTCAAGGTTTGTCAGTCAGCTTTAGTTCTGGACTGGTGAGAGCCTGAGCAGTTTTCCTGCTCGTTAGTTTTTAATATTTTGGGGGAAATTAGACAGTGTTGTTTAATATTGCTCTAAACATATTTCCCTCTATTTACTAATGATGTGACTTCTGAAGACAATTTGGGGGTATCAGGGAACTAAATGTGCATGCTGTCACACCTGCACACAGATTCTTATTTAAAACAAATTGGAAAATTCTTAGTTGCACCACTTTGTGTTGATCTGTAACATAAAATTCTAAGATGCATTGAAGTTTGTGGAAGTAATGTGACTTTTGTTTGAAATCTGAAATTACGAGGCAATACGGAAACTTTTGCAAGGCACTTGATATGTATCCCTATGTTCCCATCAACACTTTTAACAAATGTGTGGACACAGATGCAAAAAGTAAATGCTCTCAATAGATTCAGACCACAGAGTTGAAGGCTGCTGCAGATTAGAGGTGTTCTGTGGGTGGGTAGTTAATTATGTGCACATCATGAGGGGATCAGCCTGCCAGTTTAAATCAACACTGCAGGGATATATGAAAAAAACACAGTCCCTCTGCTGCTGACTTTCTCCTTTTATGTCGCCAAAATGCTTGCGATTTCCACAGACCTCTGCCATCATTCATTAGGTACACTCTCATGCTAATTTTATTTAACAAGCAAAGTAACAAGCATTCCCTGACAGGCTAATGCAGTTTTAGCTAACTTTCTCACATTACAGCAGTAAATGAGTTGGTGAGAATGCAGAAAATGTTGAAGGTAGGCTATTAAAATACAGACTTGCTGTTAGTGCAGTTGTATTGTATTGCTTGTTGTTGAGGTCAAACTGAGCGCATAATCTGACTAGAGGAGAATATAATGATTTATTGACATAACAACTGCTGAAAGACTAAGGCCTCTTTAATTTAAAGCATCATAGGTCACAGCTGTCTTTTTCTTCATAGATGAATCAGCAAAATCTTTTGTGTTGTCTGCCGTCTTGTGCTGTTTATTTCTTTCTCCCTCATTACTTTGCACAAGGCAACTACTTACATGAAGCGTTTTATAAGGGTGTACTTGGAAATTCAGCCGTGTGTGTGTGACTTTTGCCCACTGAAAGAATCAAGAATTGTCTAGCAGAAATTGGAAAGCGGACACATGAAGTTCATGGTCTTGTATTTACTCTGCAGCCTGGGGGGTTGATGACTCTGCATTCTCTCCCAAGCTCAAACCCAGCAAGGTGTGAAGAGAGACTGTTATAGACTTGGCTCTCTTCATATCATCCTGGTCAAGGAAAATGACCTCATTACCCTTTATGTTATTTTCATGTAATACAAGTCAATATTTGTATCTGAATAAAAGAAGTTTAATTGTTAATATTAACTTAAATTTTGGGCTAGAAATTACTGCCTCAAGGTTTTAAGCAGTGACTTGCAAAAATATTCATACCATTCAAACTTTTCCATGTTTGGAAAATGCCAAGATTTACACCATTTCATTGTAGCTCTGCTTGCATGTGCAGGGTTGCTGTTCCACATAAAGCTGTTCTTCTGCTCCAGTCTTTAGTCTTTTGTAACATCTGACAGATTTTCCTCTTGGATTTTCCTCAATTTAGCTCCATCTAATTTACCGTCAAATTTGACCATTTCCCTTGTTCTTACTCAAGAAAATCATCCCCTCAGCATAATGCTGCCACCAACATATTTCTCAATGAAGACGGTATATTTTGAATCATGCAAAGTGTTAGCTTCCCACCAGAATCAGAATTTTTTTTGCATGGAGGCAAAAAAGGTTTAACTTTGGTGTCTTCTGAAATAACATTTTGCTGAAATTTCAACATGAATTTGAACAGGGAATAGATGATCAACTAAAATGGGTCTGATGGTTTTCAGTTTTATAATATCCTGTTTTTTGTTGCCATTTTCAGAGGATAGAGTGAACAGTGTTTAATGCAATGTTCAAAATAGTGGATATTGTTCTACATCTAACCCAACTTTGAGTGTTGCTACATTTTCTTCCTCGACTGAGTTGTAATATCATTTTTTTCTAAAAACAAATTATTGTCAGGTGTTTCATTTAGGAATTTCAGAGTGAAAGGAATAACATTTGTATTTTGATTTTGGTGTAATACCTATTCATATTAAGTTTCTGAAAAGTATTAATTTCTTTCTTTACTTTAGTCCACTGTGTGCAAACCCACAGATTCAGTTGTTGTACGAACCACATACAATGGGTTCGCACACCACATACATTCCAATAGAAATTGTTAGGGTGCATCATTGTAACATGACAAGATGTGGAGAATATTTAGTGGTGTGAAAACTTTTACAATGCACTTTTTCTTAGTTGTTTTAAAATAGTTTTGAGCTCATACTTTTGTTTTCTTGTAAATAACAAGTTTTAATTTAACTCTTTCAGGGCCCTCGGGGAGAAAAAGGAGAAAAGGTAAAATCGAGATCCACACTTTAAAATAAATCATGCCAAAAAGTGATTGCTTTTCTTGCTGAACAAAGTTCTCCTGGCATGTTTTCTCTTCCAGCCATATACAACAATTAGGCTGGACAAGAAACTATTGAAGCACCATATGCACTCTCTTTAACAAGAACATAAACTCAGAATACACCTTGATTAGGTTGCTAATAGTTTTGTATCTGGATACTTTATAGAGTAGTAGAATGAAGCCCTGATCAACTGAGGCTGCAAATTGCCTATTAAGGAGATATTGGAGAAGTCACCTGAAGCTATTCAAGTATTGAAACTGCAACTTTACGTTCCCCTTCCTACCTATGCACTTCATTTTAACTTATCTAATTCTTTTGTTATCCGTTGAGCTAACTCGAATCTTAATGTTACAAATAAACTCCACTGGTCTGCTGACAACTTGTGCTGCAGACATCAGCTCGTGTCAGACTTCACGAGATGCAGAACAAAGTCTCTGTGGATTTCTAAATATAGCATCTAATTCTCTATAATACATGTCCTCCCCCTAGGGATCAGCTGGAGTGCCGGGTCAGCCAGGCAAAGAGGGCAAGAGGGTGAGTAAACAGCGACAGTTAACCAGTTGTGTGGCCTGACTTGATCTTGCAATGACTAGGAGGTGTTGGCCTGCAGGAACAGCCACTGAGTGACTGTTGTTGTCTGTGACCCTTCGTGGCAGTGAGCCTAAAACAACAGGGAAGAGTCCGTGAGGGCATGCTGTATGACAATTAATGAATGGGATCCATGGTCAAAGGGTCATGCACACACTCACAGTATGACTGGCAGCACACATGGTGACGTCCCAGTGGGTAGCATTAAGTTTCTAAAAGCTCGATTTGGAATAGACACAATGTCCGTGACTGATTCAATGGCTATATCATGTCATGTTTATTTATTTGTCACTTCTTAATGCAGTAAACGTGCTGGAGAATAAACGTGTCTGGATTGTAAATGATGTCGAAATGACAGTCACGGTGCCTCAAGTTCACGACTTAGTTTTGAGTTCCATTTAAGCTACAAAGACTTCAGACTTGGCTTGGAGTCTCTCTCTAAAGATTTACTACTCAGACTCAAATTCTGAGCCTTACGTCTTATAAACATTCTTTATCCAGTCTACAGCATGAAGATAAGTGCAGATGGTTTGAGTAAATACTTTCTTTTCTTGTCTCCTCTGAGTTAGATCATGGCAAAAATAAAAACTTGGTCATCATGGTTACACTCCACGCATTAAATACAGTTTAGGACGAAACCATTTGCCTCCCTGGTAACAACCACAAAGTTTGTTTCTGATTCCTTGCATTAAAAAAAATTGGATGTCTAAAATTATTTATGTCCTTCGCAATAATCAGTAGAAAATTTTCATTATCAAAGCAGCCATAAACCCTTCTTGTTGGTCAGCTTTTTGAATTTTTTCAATGGTATTTTGACCATTTTTTGGGGGGTTATATGAGCACCAAGTCTTCACCCAAATTTTTGTTTAGTACTTTGACTGGGCCACTCCAAAACTCTGATATCATTTCTTGTGAAAATAAAATGTTGGTTAAATTAAAGGATTAGTTTGAATATAAATGAATACTTTTTAGCTTAACTGTGTGGCATCTCTGCAATCATCCTGGATCATTTGTGTCAGTAAAAGACTTTAATGGTTGCTTCGAAGTTTATCTGTTTTATTTAATGATGCCATCAAGCAAGTATTCACAGTGAGTCTGAGCTCTTACAGAAATGCACCCATTATCCTGTTAAAGGTTACTTTTGATTTATTTCCCAGGGACTTCCAAGGACTCTGGGTTGTTATTGGCTTATAACAATCTCTTTATATATTTTGTAGCATCGTAATTTTGACCACAAATCATGCCTTTAATAACTTTCGGGCATTTTGAAAATACCTCTGCAAGTTTGTGAAACAGACATTATTATAAATTAATCAAATTTGAACAAGGTAGTTGATTATCTATTCAGAGGGATTTAATATTAATAGAGTGACCATAAAATTATGGTGGCATTTAGATTATTTTGTTTGACCGAACAGTAGACAAGAATTTGGGGATGTGGTGGAAAATGTCTTTCTAAAATAATAAAAAATGAGCTCTGTAGTTTTGGTTGTCCTACATAATATGGTTATAAAACAAAAGAAAATATTGCTGCAAAATATAAAATCCACATGAGAGCTTTAGAGCAACCACAAGTAGGTCAGGGAGATATTATTTTTATATTAAGCAAATGTAAAATGAAATTTATAAATTTGATGGTAGCCGGCTCAAAGCATGTCGATACGTGTTTGTCATAAATTTTACCCTTCTTAATCAGAAAATGTCTCTTAACATTGTGTTGAATGATCAGCTATGTTTTTTTTTTCCTCAATGGATCATTTCACTGAATGAAGTTACTGAATCTGTTGCAGCTGAAGTTATTCCCATTGAAAATAAGTGAGCGCAGATGTTTTGATACTATTGTCTCCACATCATTAGTCATATTGCTTTTTAACACATAACCCTGCCTGAGAAGAGGCTGGGATATACAGAAACTGAGCTTTAGCGGCTGGATGCTCTGAAATACATCTTGATGATGAAATTCAAAACATTACTGCATGAAAAGAGTCAGAATGCTACTCTTACTAATGTTGTATCCTCTTTGTTTCCCTTTTTATTTTACCACACATATTTCTTTGAAGAGTTTATAGGTAAATAGCTACAAGGAACTTAAGAGGCAATTGTAGGTTTTGTTCTGTTGTTGCTGCTGAAGACACAGTTCTGATCTATTAATACCTCATCTTTAATGGTTGGTTGACTTTGTGGTGACTGTTGATGCACTAAGGTTTCTGCTTATTCTTGGCTCCAAGGGTCACATGGAGTCCAGATTGTTGACCACTGTGTGTTTCTGCAGTATGACAACCTATTTTAGGAAGGTGGAAGCATGTATTATTATCAGACCCTCTCACCCAATTAGCAATTCTTGGCCATGCCTGCATCTTATTGGTTTTACAAAGAGCTACAGCTGCTATACAACTGATGCAGAAAGACTTGATGCAGAAGGACTGCTCTATATCCTTCATGGAATAGCCGGGAGTGAAAAGCTTTCACAAAGTCTTAGATTCAAGCCTGACCATCTCTCAAACTGTCCGCTTTAATTTATTGTTGAGCAAAATACGACCACTCTAAGCCATCTAGATTTACTTCAAGGAGATGTGGAGGACATGGTAGTGGGGAGAAGAGGAATGATGCCATTTTCTCAGATCCTTCTCCAAAGCTTAAAGCAACATATGCAACAGAGAATATCAAGGGTAATCACCCAAACCCATTTGCAACCCTGTAACTAATATCCTCAGAATCTTGATCTTGTCTTATTACCTTGATCGATGTCTGGTCAAGTTTGTCAGGGTGACAACCATGACAAGTAATTAATGGGAATGTGTTTCCACGTTGCACATTTCCATTAGTGATAATGTGAATGTGCTTGGTTCTGTCGAATCTGGGCGGCATTGACACAGAATGGTAGGCCAAGAGTAGGACTCTGGGATTCAGAGGCCCATTGTAGCCAATCAAAAGGGAAGACGGGGATCGTTGGTAAAAATGATATGTCCCCTGCGCTGTCTATGTTGAGTAAAATATTCATCACACTCAGTAATGATGTCCTAAGCTCAGTGCTGTCATTGTACGCTGGCTCTGCTCCATACTGATGGTGGAGGTGAAAGACAAGCATGCTAAACAGTTTTTGTTTAGTCACTTGGAAAGCCAAGTATTAGGTATGCTCATTCAGGGTGAATGGCAGAGAAGTGCCTGTCTGCATCACAACAGTGTGAGCATATTAAAGTTCTGTACACATACAAAAGTAATGTGCATTTTGTGCCAGGGAGCATTACAAAAGTGACAAATTACATAATTTTATTCGCTCAAAATAGGACTGAAAACCTACACAGTGCACACAGTGCTTCCTTAATGCTGAAGTACATGCGAACACCTCTACGGGCTTGGCTTATTCATGTTGTGCCAAGACTTCCCAGCATACACTGCTTCTGTAGCTGGCATAAAGCAGTGAGTGGGTTCAGTACAGTCACTGGGATCATACCTAAGAACGTTAGCAGGTTCCTTCTGCATTATGAATCACTTTGGAAATTCCCATTACCAGCAAATTTATTGGAACTTTAAACCATATTTAATGTAACATTGATCTTTATTTGTTGGGTTTTAGTAAGCTGCAATAATGTTCCAATAATAGTTTACCTAAAGCATTCAAAATAGTATCCTATTTCTCTAAAGGACCTTCTGACCTATGGCTTAAGAAGTCAGCTAATTTACATCTCTCTAAGCTGAGGTTCATTGCAATGTTCCCCTTTTGAATATTTTAATGACAAAACAAACACGAAAAGTCATTCTGTCCTTTCACAAACTAGGTGCTTTGCTTTAAAATGAGTAGGGTGTAATTGAATGATTAGTGTTATAGCAGCAGACTATGCTCAATTCAGATTTTTCAAAGAGACGAGGCACATCTAACCAGGTCACATCACACCAGCTGGCAGGAAGGCTGAGCAAAAGCCATAGCTTCTCTATTAATGCTGTTTCACTGATTGTCAAAGAGTACACTGAGACTTAAGGCTGTTCGAACAAAAACCCAGATTTGTTCAATCAAATCTATAAATTACCAAATTCTTATAATTTTACTTGTTTTAAAATGGATTTCATTTAATTCCTATCCTAATTCAGACATATTTTAAATCAAAATGGCTAAAAATAATATGTGGTGTTGGTGTATGATAACTTTTTCTGTCATTCTCTATTCAAAAATGATTTCATATTTTGAGAATCACTTAATTATGTGTTAAAACCCAAGAACTGGCTGAACTTGCAGAGCGTTAACATGAATGAAAGCCCGAAACCCCTCACTAAATGGCCTCATCTTTGTCAAGGTTCCATAGAATTATGCTTTGGACAATATACACAATTTACAGATGAGCTGCATTATTAAACTGCGGGCTAGAGACAATAAAAAAAAATAGACATATAGGAAGGAGCTTCTGTTCTGCTTCATCATTAATTTGAAGATATAATTCTTCAAATTAATGATGAAGCTATTCCTTTTCCTTTTCATATATTTATTCCCTAATTTAGTCAGATTTAACTAACCTTTTTTTTTTGTTTGCTTCATTTTTAAGGAACATACAGCTTAACACAGTTGGTAAACAAGTAGCTGGGTTTTTGGCTAGTGGCTGCTCAGTAAGAACCACTTTTGTCTGCAAGGTTATGAGGTGTGTTCAGTCTTCTGTGAATAATTCACATTCTTTGCTGCAGAGTTTTTATTGAGTAAGTCGTGACATTTTCCATTATTACGACGGTCCAATTGTTTCTGACTATCTCGTGTTTGTTTCACAGAATAATAAAGGTTAAAAGGCCTAGAATATGTTGCTTGCTAGGTAATACAAAACAAAGAGGAAGAAGCCACTAAAGGTCAGCTGAACTGTGGGAGGAAACATTTCCTACAAAAATGTGCCACATCAATGATAGTAATGAAAGAATCCCACCAGATTATTGATGGTTATTGGAGAAACATTACAGAGTGGGAC